GGAAGTCTCGGAGCAGTCTGCACCTGTGAATCCTTGTTTGCAAACACACTGGCCGTTGACGCAGCGCCCCCTGTTGGTGCAGTGTCCAGGGCAGGTGTTTTCGGAGCAGTCGTCTCCAGTGAAGTCGCTGTTGCAAACACACTGACCGTTGACGCACTGTCCACGGTCGGTACAGTTGTTAGGACACGTTCGCTCAGAGCAGTCTGCACCGCTGAACCCATCATCGCAAACGCACTGTCCGTTGACGCAGCGCCCCCTGTTGGTGCAGAGTCCAGGGCAGGAAGTCTCGGAGCAGTCTGCACCAGTGAATCCACTGTCACAGACACATTCACCGTTGACGCAGCGCCCGTGACCTCTGCAGTCGCCAGGACAGGCTTTCTGTGAGCAGTCCGGGCCGCTGGATCCCGGGTCGCACGAACACTGTCCGTTCACACACCTCCCGTTGTCGTGGCAGTTTCCAGGACAGTTGGAGTCGCTGCAGTCCGCTCCGCTGAATCCAGGGAAACACTCACACCTGCCGTCCACACAGCGTCCCTGGTCACTGCACTCGTTAGGACACTCGTCCTCTTTGGGTTTGATGGAACAACCGGCACCTGGAGCAGAGGAAACCAGATTCTTACATCTTTGACTGGATGATCAGACCTGATGCTTCACGATTCACTTTCACCTGACGAACGTTTCTTTCTTTCCTCAAACGAGTCAAATGAAGCCATGATTCTCCACAGTGAAGGGGGTGGAGCTTACTCATTAGTAATTACAGCGACGCGTTTAACTAACGACCTCTGTGTGTGTGTGTGTGTGTGTGTGTGTGTGTGTGTGTGTGTGTGTGTGTGTGTGTGTGGAGAGAAATCTGCCATTTGGAAGGAGAGGGAGTCTGAGATCACACTGGGCAGAGAGAGGAGGACACACACACACACACACACACACACACACAGGTCTAGATCATGTTTTCAGAGTAACTAAGTACTTTTACTCTTTTCTTCATTTTATGTTGTAGTTTTATTTGTGTTGATAGTTTTACGTTTGTGTATCAACAGAAAAACACGATTCATCTCATGTCAAGTATTTTTAATTAACTTTGTGGATATTTGACGCTCGACTGATCGAACTCCAGGATGAGACGCTGTGTGTTTGTGTTTGCTGTCACGGTTACGGGAGGATTCTGTTTCCAACACGTGCGACAGTTTAGTTGTTTCAGAATCAAAGTCGTGTTTGTTGCACGAAGAAGAAATGATTGGTGTTCGCAGCTCACTGATCAGTGCAGCGGAGTATTTACAGTATTTACTCTGATCTCAGTTTGTGACCTGATCAAGTTAAACTTAATTCAAATCTCAGATTCAGGATCTTTTTATTCACAACATCTACATGTTGAAGACGACAGTGAATCTTTGGCTCGTTAAGAACACGTGATTATCTGTGTCCCTAATAAAGTGGAAATGATCCCCGAGCTCCTCAGACATCAACCTGAAGGTCCATTTGTCTTTGTGTGTTTTTGTGTAGTTTTCTCAGCTCAGTTGAACAAACACGATGTCGTCTACAGATCCGGAGGGTTATTAACGTTTATATTTGGCCACTAGGGGCACTAAAACTCCCATCATGCCCTGCTGCTTCACTGTATCAACGAGGCCAGACACCCCCTAGTGGCAGAAAAGGATGTGTGTTTCAAAACAGTAGCAACAGGAAGTCGTTTTTTACCTTTACTCTCTTTGGAGGTGCAGCAGCCTCCATCTGCTCCTCCACATTTCTCTCGGAGGGTCGACACCTCCCTCTCCAGATTCTCCAAACGCTCCCACAGAGGAGCAAAGTCCGACTCGCAGCCACACGACCCGGATCCTGATCCAGAACCTGACGGAACCAGTTTGATCTGATGGGTCAGGACCAGCGGAGAACCAGGGGCCAGGTCGAATTCTTTACCTGAGAGAAACCCAGACGTCAGATCTACTCTTAAGAGCTCTGAGACAGAAAGAAGAGGATTCAAGGACTCAGTGGTTTCTGGTCTTTACCTCCGACGTCAGATGAATCCCCGTGAGAGGCACAGCCCCCGGAGATCAGCACCTGGAACATGACTTCATCACGTTACACGTCCCTGAGTTAATGTTGAATATTATCTTCTTAACTGGGGGTCTGTCTCTTCTTACCTTGATGGCCTCTTGCTTGGCGTCCCTCTGCGTCCTCTGACCTCTGACCTGGAGCTCCTGGGAGGCTGATGGGGTCGAGAGGGCCGGAGCAGCCAGGAGGAGGAGGAGGAGGAGGAGGGTGGGGGTGAAGGGAAGCATCGCCGGGGTCAGAGCAGGAAAAACGAGGGAAACCTGAGCCGGTGTGGAGACTGAAGATCCGTCGCAGGTGATGGCGTCCGCTGGTGGTTTTTGCTTGGTCCTCTCAGGGACGTTCCTCTCAGGGACGTTCCTCTCAGGGACGTTCCTCTCAGGGACGTTCCTCCTGAGACGGAATCTAAAGTTCACCTCAGCTCAACACAACAATCATCTAAACGGAGCCATCAGCAGTTTGTGTGTCTGTCAGTGAGAAATCTGTTGATTTTATGGTTTAAACAATCGACCTCATTTGTGTAAATATTGTAACATGTTCAGATTTTAATGTCGAAGACTCAACTTTGTTTATACATTTGCTTGTTTCAGTTTTTAAATCTGAATTTAATCAGAATTTCTCTGATTTTTCAAACAGAAAGTCTAAAAGGTTTAAATTCTCCTTCATGTGAATCTATGATCCTCGTATTATTAGTTTCCTCTGAACCGCTCACACACTCACGTGATGGTTCCACATCTGCACTTTAATCTACATCTGTCGCCCTCAGTCACTTCTAATGAACCTGCGGCCGACAGATGTTCCAGCTGCTGGAAGCTCATCACAAAGACTCGTCAGCTTCACGTCGTCTCACTGCTGCTGTTTGAATCTGTCTCTGAAATCAACTGGTCCAGTGACATCAGCAGGTTTTCAGTCAGGAGCTTTTAATACATTTGGTTTTATTCTGGTTTCATTTCACCTGAAACTCTTTTTTACAGTTTCATCATTCGGTAACAATTTAATCATTTTCACTCATTTGAAACTAAAGATGAAGATTTTGATCTTATATTGAACCATAACTTTTCTTTCCACACTTACTGCAGATCATAAACTCGCCTCCTCCATGTTTGCAGATGGGACATGAACCAAACTAAAAACTCAAAGCAGACGTTAAATAAATGTTTGTCAAAGTTGTTTCTTTATAGTTTATGAGCAGAAACTTTCCACCCCCACATCGTTTACATCCTAATGCCTACATTACCCACAATGCCACACAACCACGCTCCGTTTGGAGAATGGGTGTTTTGCTGCAGAGACCTGATGACATCACCTGATGACATTTCTCTGACTTGTGTATAAATTAAATATCTTTAAGTCCTGTAATCAGCTTTAGATGCAGATTTTAAATCCTGAAACGTTGAACAGTCGTCAAACATCTTCAGCAGATCTGAATCATCGCAGACCGACAGAAACCAGAAGAATTTGAATCTGTAACGAGCCAGTTTCACGTTAATTCAACTTAATATTCCTGCGTCAACTTGTTTCAGCCTCAACAGCTCGTTTCTGCTTTGTTTTATTTGAGATGAGAAATAATCTGTCAGAGATGATTCAGATAAGATCATTAAAGAATCTGAAAGTCACAAAACAACATAAAAACTTTTTCTTTTCTTTTTTCTTTTTCACACAAGCAAATTAAACTGAAGAAATTAAATCTCCTAATCAAACTGAAATAAATGTTTTATCAGATTTTCTGGTAATTAACTGATTTCTTTCTTAAAATGTCAGAAAATATCAGAATTTTTTTTTTTCAAAAGCTACAGCAACAAATTCTTCAAAATCAGAAATAAATCAATGATCACATTAGTTTAATTTCTGTGATTGAATCAATCTTTATAGATGAGTAAATCATTTGCACGCTGAATTCATCTAGAATTTATTTACAGAGTGATTCATAAATACAGACGATGAGATTCGGAGAAAGATTTAGATTTATGAATTATCATAAATATGATTTTACCTGTTCAGAGCTGTGACGACTGTTTCCCTGCGGCTCCGTGAAGCTCTGAACGACAGAACCAGCAGCAGGAGGAAAGAAACGAGGAGGAGGAGGAGGAGGAGGAGGAGGAGGAGGAGGAGGAGAGCAGTAAACTTTTCTCATAGTTGAAGAATTCTCTCTCTCCCTCCAGGTCCCTGCTGGGTGGAGGATCTATGACGGAATCTTAAATGTTTTTTTGTGTTTTGAATCCGTCTGAGATATTTTGGCTTTGTCTCTTTTCAGTGGAGCCTGAATTCACTCGGATCCTCTCTCGTGTATTGTGCAGATTAAAAATAGAAGCTCACGATCTAGAAGTGAAATCAGCATATTTATGATGAACTGGGAGGATCAGCCCCAAGATGAAGTGAACCTGAAGTCAACTTTCAGAACAGTTCGTTGAGTCCAATCAAGTTTATCAAGCTCCAAGTTTAGGACGCGACCCTAAACTCTGATTGACCCCCAACACAAAACTCCTCCTGTGTCTTTGAGTCCTTTTAAACAACTTGTTTTTCTGTCTTAAAGGTTCAGTGTGTAGAATTTACTGACATCTAGTGGTGAAGTTTCATAATGCAGCTGAACACCCCTCACCTCACCCCCCCCCCCTCTCTACCTGAATCTTACACACTGGACCTTTAAACAGACGATTGAGACGCAGCATCAAACCTGCGGATCATTGTTCGTGGGTTTAAACGCTGCAGGGGGAGATTCAGACTGTTTCAGGATCGCTGGTCGACGGGTCGAAGGCCAATTAACTTTATGATTCAGTTACTAGGTGGTGTTAAATCCTGACGGAGCTCCAGGGTGCAGTAACTGTCACTGCCCCCCCCCCCCCCCCCCCGGGCGTCTCCGCACAGAAGCTCCACATACTTCACTCACTTCACCGTTTTACCTCCAGCAACAGGAGGCTGAACGTCTCAATACAGATCCAGATCCACGAAGGGTTCTGAAAAATATGAAAACTATTTTCTGTTACCGTTAAATCTAAAGGTGAAACATCTGCCCAGCTGTGGAGGGCAGGTCTGGATTCATGTACATTTAGAAGTTTTTACCTCCTTCGGTGAAGAGGTGATTTCACCCCTGTTGGTTTGTTCAATTCTAAAAAAGTCCGAGAATAACAGATAAATAAGAACAAAACTAAACTGAGGTTAAATGTGCAGATATTTCATTTGTTTTCATTTTAGAAAACAAATCTTAAAATCACATTTTCCCAGAATTAAAGAAATACTTGAATTTCCATTTGTCTTGTTTTTCCAGTTTTAGAATCTAAAAAGTAAAAAACTTCACCCGTCGTCACTTTGAACCAAATCGTTGAACAGAACACGTGAGAAACCTGAACCAGTTTGAAACTTGGATCTCTGGAGTCTCGTTGAGACAAAGACAGAATCTGTTTTTCATCCTGATCTTCAGGCGCCTGTGAGCGTTCACACAGATTCAGTGATGAAGACTGTGTGTGACCACGAACTGAGCGTGTGCACGGTTCACACGCGGCTCACACACGGCTCACACACGGTTCACACACGGCTCACACACGGTTCACACACGGTTCACACACGGTTCACACACATTATAAACAGTTCCGCTCTGGGTCCATGTTGTTCATGTCACACAGACCATCAACCCCTGTGTGAACAGGTGGAGGTGGAAGCATCTGTCAGCCATCGCTTGTTGAGCTCAAGCTGTGGCTCAGGAGGTGCAGCGGGTCGTCCACCGACCAGATCTCTGTTTCTATAATTCCTCGCGTGGAAGATTCCGAACCCCAGATGAGTGTGAGCGACGTACGACAGAGAACGGGCTGCACACAGACGCAGCGTCACCAGAGACCATTGTCCTTGAATCAGACTCTGTTGGTTTCGCTCTTCGATGCTCAACCTCTGGGCAGGTGACTCATCTGTCTCTGTCCCAGACGACCTCTGGAGCGCTTCGCCGGAAGGATCGAGCTCCGACCTCGAATCCTGGGATACGTTGGCCCGAGAGGGATCCACCTGTTGGTTGGTTCGTTGCTCGGAGATTGGACGCATCTCTCGATTAGGCTTTGAAGAACAGGACAAAAGGACGTGTGTGACTCCGTCAATCAGACTTTTCATACAAACAAACACAAAGTGATTCACAGAATAAAAGAAGAAGAAGAAGAAGAAAAACAAGTTCACCGACAGCAGGTTGAAAGTTTTCCTGTGGTTTCATTCGCTCGTTGTTTTTTGTCTTTGTGTTTGTCTTCTATCCCATGAGCCTCAGCGGCACTTTGATGGTTAAAGATTATCGTCATGCTGACAAACTGAAATCTCTTTTACACCGAGTGTCTCGTGTTCCTACGTGTCCACCAGTGACCAGTAAATCTAATCCTTCTGTCCCTGATGAGAACAACTTCTGTCTCGCTGCTGACGCTCGTGCATTTGATTCTGAATCCAGCTGTGACGGGGACCGAACAGTTTACACCATGAAAACACATCAGCCACCAAACTGGAACCGTGAGCAAAGTGGAAAAGTGTCATTTTAATAAGAGAAAGAAAACGGAGAAATCGTCCTGACGGCAGAGGAAACAGGTCGTTACGAGCGAGGAGGGTTAGTGGCGGCCGTTAGAGGACGAGGGAGGAAACCAGATCATCCAGAGGAAAAGAAAAGAAAAGTGTCTGAGTCATTTTCACTGAACATTCATCCAGAAACCAGCTGTTCTGAAGAATCAACATCTCTGCTCATGTTTACGGGTTTTAAGCCTTTTTGTGGATGAGACAGAGTCGAGTCATGACAGGAGAAGAGAGAGAGCGATGAAGTCAAAGAACAAGTCGGGACCGTGTCCACATCGTGTCCAGACAGCAATGCTTTGAGCTACACGCTAACAACAACATTCTAACATGTTGAGCCGAACCGACCAACAGAAGAACAGAGCTGGAGAACTTCTCCAGAACTCTGCCTCCGTGAGGAGCCGGAGCAAACTGATGCTTCCTGACTCCGGAGACGGGATCAAACTACGATTAGTCGACCTGCGTGTGACGGCCGAGGCTTCAGAGGAGTTTGACCCTCGCCAGAGTTCAGACTGAAACGCTGCCGTGTTGTTGGACTGCGTGAGGTATCGGTTCTCAGTTTCCTGCCATACAGTCCTCGCTCTGTGTCTGATCCTCGTCACGCCAACCGCCAGCGGTGAAATAACTCACAGCCTCTTCTCACCTCCGCCACACGCAGCACATGTGAGCAGCACAGGGCGTCAGCGAGGAGGAGATTTACAGTCGAGCAACAGCTTCCTGCTCGATGAATGTTTCCTCCTGTTCACGTCAATCCAACAGAACACAACGTTCACTGGGCGCTGTGATAAATGTGCTGCTGACTCACTTCACTGAACCGATCAGACGATAAACCCTTCATGGAAAACTTGAGAAACTTGTGAAAACTTGTGAAAACTAATGAAAACTTGTGAAAACGGTGGCAGAGGTGGTCGGTGCTGATTGTGGTGTAATGTTCATGTAAGCTCCAGCTGCTCCAACTGTAAAACCAGCAGTTTGAGTCTTTAACATCCAAGATAAAATAAACACAACCAAGTCGTCCACTGATGTCATCATCATCAACACACACACACACACAGCAGATTAACACTGGTGTGTGTGTGTGTGTGTGTGTGTGTGTGTGTGTGAAGTTTAAACCCTCTCCACAGTAATGAAGCCAAAATATCCCGGATCCAAAAGCTGCCATCTTGTGGTGATGACGTCATTTTGGGTCAAACACAAAAAGTCTTTAAGTTTTAAATACAAAACAAACGTTTGCTCACTTGAAGCTGTTTTGGTAGTTTTGGTAGTTTTGGTAGTTTTGGTAGTTTCCTCATGCATGACCTCGTGTCTCTGGTTTTCCATCAGAGAGAAGAACTGGAGGAACATCAAGAAACCTCCACTCACTCCTCAGGGAGACGGAGGTGAAGAGAGGGACGGGAGGGCAGCTTTTATTAGAGACACAAATATTTTCTGCCCACCTTTGTCCTTTTTTTCCCTCCATCTCCGACATGTGCTTCACCTCTCTCTCTTTCTTCTCCTCTTCCTCCCCTCCATCATTCATTCGTTCACCATATGGGGCTCCGTACCCGTCCACTCGTAAAAGACTGGAGGACAGAAACCTGGAGAGAACGAGACCGAGATCAGAAAAACAGACAGAATGAAAGAGCTGCTGAGTTTCATTCATATTTTCTGTGAAGAGAATTAAAGGTTAGTTTCAGGTGAAGCAGTTGATTTATGTTCAGTGGAAACAGACGAGAACATGTTTTTAATATAAATTAAAACCAATTCAATTAGATCTCCCCCTAGTGGACAATAAAGTGCATCACTATTTATTCAACCTGCAGGAAAAGTTAATATTTAACATTTAATTCAATGTTTAAATTATTTTCAAAAGGTGAAATCATTCTCTGTCTCTGTCAGATGGACGTCACTCAGCGTCGGGCGCTGCCTGAGCAACGGTGTCGTCCGACTCGTGTTTGTCGAGGCGACGGGAGAACGACGGCTTCTGGAGTCACATCTGTGAAGTGAGTTGGTTTTATCACCGGGAAACTAAATACGTGACGGTGAGAGCTGCCGGGAGAACAAACAGTGATGTCATGCAGGTCCAGCAGGAAACACATCTTCATCCTCCTCCTCCTCCTCCTCCTCCTCACTGCTGCTGCACTGATCATCACATTCTTCAGCGTCTCAGACCCTTCACTCACTTTTCAGTCTGTCCTCTGAGGTCAGAGGTCAGAGGTCAGGGGCGTGTCACCTCGTCACAGTCGGCAATAAAGAACTGGAACAGAAAGAAAAAAGGTCTGAA